GAAAATGCGCAGGTTGCGTCAATAGACATGTACTCTTCGAAATTTCGACTGCTGGAACTATTGCTGGAAACTTCCTTGAGCGGCCTTACGCGGGATAAGGGGTACAATCAACTCATTTACATTAGTCAATCGACAATGGAACTATACGTCTCTGGAACTCATAATCATTCTCCTGCCCTTCTCCCAGTTGTTCTTTTAGCGGTAGGCAGCGGCTTGGCTCTGCCCCTGGCATTACTGAAGTCCATGGGCGACGGTAACCACTCACCATCAAGTGGGCCGTATGCTCGTCTGCCTACAAGGACAATAAAAAAAAAGTCCTTTTGTCCTTCCATACTGCTCTATCATATACCATTTCTTCGCTCACTCCCCTCTTACACATATCGTCTTTCACGCAATCCATCAATTTCTTGTTATGTCTACCTCTTCCTCTATATCCTTCCACATTCATAGTTAAAACTCTCTTACCAACCTCATGTTCATTTCGTCTCATCACATGTCCATACCATCCCAAACGCGCACTTCTCTGTCACAGGTGCCACTTTCATTCTCTGGAACTATACATCGATTACAAAATACGAATTGGTACTTTGTTAATGGCCAACGTTAAAACAAACACGTCAATCATACAAGGTAAACTTTCTTTAGGATGTATCATTATAATCTATACTAATATTATAAAGACTAAAGATTTGTTTGTCTGTTTGTATTGAATAGGCTCCGAAACTACTGAACCGATTTGAAAAATTCTTTCACTATTTGGAAGCTACACTATCTCTGAGTGACATAGGCTATATTGTTTTTTTTAACAAAAATTAAGGATCCTTACTAAAACTCGAATAACGTAACCCAAGGTGTAAAAAAATTACCTAAAATATTCTTTACATCGCATGCGCGGCGAAAACATTGATGATAGAATAAAATAATGTACTATGACCTTGTAGGACACATTATTGTTTTAAAAATGTGTCGCGACAGCATATGTCTAACTATTAAAATTATGCCACAATAGGTGTTCTTGTATTTAAAAAAATTAAAACACCTCAAATATCGTTTACAGGGAAGCTCGGACTCAATAAACTCAATGGTTTTTGTTTTGTGTGTATGACCTTTTTACGAAAATTAGAAAAATAATAATATAAAAATTGATAAAAAAAATACAATTTAAAGGAAACTACATACCCGATCCTGTAGACCGATTGGTAAACCGTCGACGTCGCCCAAAGCACGTCATCACGGATCCTCCTGATCCATTAACGGTGCTTTTAGGCAATACAAGCACCGGTCACCGTCCTCGTCGAACCCGTCGCTTGCGACGAAGGGCTCGACGAGCGAATTAACCCACAGACACAGCCCACTGAGTTTCTCGCCGGATCNCACGGATCCTCCTGATCCATTAACGGTGCTTTTAGGCAATACAAGCACCGGTCACCGTCCTCGTCGAACCCGTCGCTTGCGACGAAGGGCTCGACGAGCGAATTAACCCACAGACACAGCCCACTGAGTTTCTCGCCGGATCTTCTCAGTGGGTCGCGCTTCCGATCCGGTGGTAGATTCTGCGAAGCACTGCTCTTGCTAAGGCGGTGTTAGCAATTCTCCGGTTTGAGCCCCATGAGCTCACCTACACAAGCTAGGGTACGCTGAAATAGCCTCTCAAGGCTATCAGCATAGGTAGGAAAAAAAAAAAAAAAACAATTTAAATGAAAATAAAAGTTCATTAAAATAATAATATTCAGATTATCTTTATTTAATAATTTTCTTTTTTTATTAACCTGGCGCAAATAAAAGGGTTGATGTGTGTCTATTATAAATTTTATTTAGAATTTTTTGTTAAAAACCCGAGCGAACCCGGAGCGCGCCGCTAGTTATAATTAAATTGCTTGTATCGCTAATGTAAAGGTCGTCGGACGCAGCCGATTAATGACCGTGGTCTTGTTGTTACAGACGCTTCGTGTTTATATGCCGCGGTTCGATTTTGAGTCAGGTATTTCGAAATACTCATACTAAATCTTGTGTTTGCTTTTTTTCTATCTTAGTAAGCCCAAGGGTCTATACTAGGTTCACCTTGTATGAAGAAGATTCCACGGGGCTCAGCTTAACGAATTTGCTAACACTAGCTTTAGCGAGGGCTGTACTTAGCAGAATCTTTTTTTTTATTGCTTAGTAGGTTGGACGAGCTCACACCCCACCTGGTGTTAAGTGGTTACTGAAACCCGTAGACATCTATAACGTAAATGCAGTACCCACGTTGAGATATAAGTTCTAAGGTCTCAAATATAGTTACAACGGCTACCCCACACTTCAAACCGAAACGCATTACTGCTTTACAGCAGAAATAGGCAAGGTGGTGGTACCTACCCGTGTGGACTCACAAGAGGTCCTACCACCAGTACCATTAAATAGTACCAGTACACAACGCATAGTTAACCGTCAAAAAGTACTTCTCAAGGTCCTTCTCCTCCTTCAATGGCACACTTCACACCTCTTACTGAGGGTCGTGACCAGCCATGAGTTTCAGCCTCATCACCTTTTCCATCTAGTTCTGTCTTAGGTTACTCTGAATCTGGTCTGCCCAGTGCATTGGACTGCGCCCCCACGATCTCTTCCCAGTGATCACCAGTTTTCGAAGATTGCTCAAAGTCTATTAAAACTTCAATGGCCCGGAATCATTGACATAATATTTTTTAGGATCCTTCAAAATAACTTTCTCATGCTGCACTTTCAAAACGCCATTGAATTAGCCTGATTGGTCATTCAAGAGTGAAAGTTCTGTAAACATCTCTTGCAGATCTTGAAGTATCAATTTGTTTGACAGACGTCAGTGAAGACAGGTTATGTCAAATAACAAGCGGCGTGTATTTTTGTATTGCTTATGGAGGGTAGATGTAAAAAGGACCATCTTGTATTGTTCGGGGCAATTTTTGGCGGGAACGCGAGGAGTGAAGTTGTGGGATTTGTTTTATTTTGTCTATTTAGTGTTTCTTCAGGTTTAAATGTGTAATAACGGTGGTTTATTAACTGTTTATTATCTGTGAAAGTGTATAAATTTGGGAAAATGAAACAAAGCCGCTGGACGTAGCTTCTTGGGATCCTCCAAAAAGTCCACTGAAAAAGTCTCAGTACCTAAATGACCACCATTTTACTGAGATTATATTTCATCCCATATCATCTCATCTCATTTCATTTAACTTCATCCCAGTTGATTTCAAATTAATCATTTTCATTTCATTTCATTTCACTCCATATTATCATTTTTCAATAAAAATAAGAATATAAATTAAAATAAGGTATGACTTAAAGGTCTTAGTAACCAGGTCATAAAAACCCTTAAAAAATATTGTATTGTTTGGCGAGTAAAACTCACAGATAGCCCACTGAGTTTCTCGCCGGATCTTCTCAGTGGGTCACGTTTCCGATCCGGTGGTAGATTCCGCGAACCACTGCTCTTGCTAGGGCCAGTGTTAGCAACCCTCCCGGTTTGAGCCGCGTGAGCTCACCTACTCGCCCGGTTACGCTGACATAGCCTCTCAAGGCTATCAGCTTAGGTAGGAAAAAAAAAGACACCCGTACGCGACTTGATGTATTGCACGCTACAAGTCTACGGGTCTAACTTAACAATAGAAGGAGGAAAACTTATGTACCCATTTACAGCAATAAAAACCTAATAAAACGATTAGTGTTGATATCTTATTAGCGTCTGTTATTTTGTGGTAGAAATAAAACAAAATATTTCGATCAATTAATATATATATATTTAATAATCTTCACTTTTATTATTCTATACAAACAAAAATTCAAGCAATCGCATGCATTCAAATAAAAATAAATCATATTTAGGCTTTATCTAATTAATTCTAGTTTTTAATAAAGTAGGTAAAAACTAATGTTCTGTTCCGTTCCTATGCACTTAACAATTCTTTATATTTATCAATCGTTAAAATACTTAAAACATAGGCCGTTTCTATCAATATTTAAAATGAAAAAGGTATTATTTTAAAACAATATCATTACCTACCTATTAAAAATTGAAATGGCGCGCAAATTCGCGAAATTACATTCATAGTTCTTTATTGAAAATCCATTGAATAAAATATAATTCATTGATATAATTTTAAAAAGGACAAGCATGTTTCCATGACATAATTTGTCGCTTTGCACTTACGTTAAAGAATGTTCAACGTAGTTTCAACGCTCCTCAATAGGTGGCGCTAAATTAAATTTATCGACTCACTAGTGCGTTCCAATGCTTTTTTTTTAATTCTATATTTACTTTTCTTATATTTAATGACGAAACTTTGAATTTGTTGATCGGTCGAATGGGACACTTTTATTTTATTAAATATAAATAAAAATAAATGAAGAATAACGTAAATCTGCAGGCGTGACTCTCTAAAATGGTTGGACAATTGAAATTCGTAAATTTGTCTTCAAAATCGCAAAAACAGACTTAAATACCCCCGATTCCTGGATTTTTTAATGAAAAAATCATTGAATTAGGTACTTACACAGAACAAGTTAACGGATAACTTCACTAACATTTTGTTGAAGAGACAGATACATCCAAACTGCAATCAAAGCAGTCGCAAGTGTACAATCAAATAATCAAACAAAATAATCAACAAAATCAATCGATAATCAGCAAAAGACACAGCCAAAATGACGTTAGGCAATCAATCCAAGAATCCAATTGTTCGGGCACCAATTGGATTTTCGAATGATTAAAATCATTAAAAAATCAATCACAAATCAACCATCAAAATCGAACTAAAAACATCATTAAAATTGTGTCTTTTCCAAATCAAAAAAAACTACGATCTTTAAATAATATTGCGACATGATTTTGTCGCAAAAGGTAGAAAGCACATGCAAAATCAACAATCAAAAGATTCACTTTTGTGACAAAATCAAATTAAATCAAGATGTTATTTGACCGCTGTGATTTACAGTTGGGATGTCTAAAGAAATAGAAAAAAAAAGAACTGGTACTAAGACAGACAATTTGAAGAGAAAAACTTTTAAAAGACTGTTTTTAAATGCTAGTAATGTTTCCGTTAAGCCTACAAAGACACAACCTCGCTAATCCATTGCGGCTGATGAAGACAAACTTAAAATGCAAAAAATGTATTAGGCGAACAGAAATGTAACCAGTAAATTGACATAGATTATGTGGCCATAAAACAAAAGTCAATGGCGCCAAAATATAACAGAAATTCGAACTGATGGAACCTTTTTGTTTGGGGAATTAAATGAACATGTTTTATCTGTATTAATTTGATATAGTTTACAATAGAACTAACAGGGTTTTAGTAGATAGGAGAGATATAGATTTTGGCGCCATTTCATTCCGTTTTATTGTTTATGTAGCCTTCATTTACGTTCTCTTCATTTACTTGTATAACCTAAATAAAATACATAAAACTTAAACTACGAATTGGCGTTATTTATTAAATTTTGAGCGCTTTAAATCTGCTCAAATCCATAAAAGGTATGCGTCCACTGTTGCAAGCCACTAATTCATTTCTGTTACAAAGAAATTTATCCATTAATACAGTGTAATGCCACAGTTTCTGAAGGGTAGGGCAGCCGTTGTAACTATACTGAGATCTAAGAACTTATATCTCAAGGTGGGTGACGCATTTACGTTGTAGATGTCTATGGGCTCCAGTAACCACTTAACACCAGCTGGGCTGTGAGCTCGTTCGCTCAGCTAAGCAATAAAAAATTTACTCCACTGTTCGCAAAAATCTCCTGCTAGTTCCTTCAAGGCTGGTGGTAGGTCTTGTGAGCCCGCATGGGTAGGTACCACCCTGCCTATTTCTGCCGTGAAGCAGTAATGCGTTTCGGTTTGAACGGCGGGGCAGTCGTTATACTGTAGAACTGAGATTTAGAACTCTTGTCTCAAGGTGGGCGCTGGCATTTTGTTGTTGATGTCTATGGGCTCTGGTGACTTAAGACCAGGTTTTATTGGCCTTGTAGGCAGTCGAGCATTCCACCCACCTGATGGTGAGTGGCTACAGTGGCTCATGGACGTCAGTAATATCAGGGGCAGAGCCAAGCCACTACCACTGTATCCGTTGAGTAAAGCCAATGATGACGTCATTTGAAGCCAGCCAAAGGTCAAACACATTTGATTAAAATTAATGGTAATTAAAGATTCTTCTGCACCAAAAATTTGATTTTCTGGAATCAGCTAACCTTTTCGACAAGAAAATTTCTAAACCCATCATTCGAAAAATCAGTTCTGAAGCTGGAGGAAGTGTGCGAAATTGAGACCAGTGCGCCTTAGTGCGAGTTTTTTTAACGTTTTCGATATCGTAAAAGTTAGCTCATATTTGTATGGAATGGAATCGTTTGCCTACGTTTGCCGCTAGGAGCGCTGTTCCAACTGCATACAAAATTGGGTTAACTTTTACGCTATCGAGAACGTTAAAAAACACGCACTAAGCACACAGATAACTGTCTACAATATCGAACTTTTTTTTATTACTTAGATGGGTGGACGAGCTCACACTCCAACTGATGTTAAGTGGTTACTGGAGCCCACAGACATCCACAAAGTAAATGCGCCACCCACCTTGAGACATAAGTTCTAAGGTCTCAAGTATGGTTACAACGGCTGCCCCACCCTTCAAACCGAAAAGCATTACTGCTTCACGGCAGAAATAGGCAGGGTGGTGGTACCTACCCGCGCGGACTCACAAGAGGTCCTACCACCAGTAAAGACCATTGTACTCACCCTGGTAGGTCTGCTCTAAGAAAGGCTTCAACTGGCTGGGTTACAAGTTCTATACCATCGCTATTGTCACAAATCAGTCTTGATAGTTTAACCTTCTTTATTTCTGTCAGTTGGCCTGCAAAATTAAGTTGTGTTAGTTCATTCAATCCACAAACATTGCCTATACAACATTAATCTATATAATAACACCAAATCTCTTCCCACCGAATGCCACGAATGTTTGTCCGATGTGGGAATCGAACCCGCGACCCTTAGCGCAAAATTCAATGTTACGTATGTGCAGTTATCAGTTATCGATTCATTCCAAAGTAAGCTTTATTCGGAGTAACAACTAAAATCAACTTTCGAAAAAAAATATGTAAATAACATTCAGCAATAAACAGTATTCTGTAGTGAAAAACAGTTTTCACTTTACATCTGTCCATCACTATCCAGATCTATTAAGTCCAGATATATTTTATGACATTATTGTAAATTTACACACAGAAATCAATTTAGATTTAACATCACAATAATTTTTTCTCTCTGCGTATTAGCTTGTACCCTAAGAGGCTATTCCAGCTTCTCTCCGACGGGTAGGTGAGCTCAAGGGCTCAACCTGAGATAAATTGTTATCATTAGCCCTAGCAAAAGCAGTAGCTTTTACCACTGGATCGGAAACGCGATCCACTGAGAAAATCCAACGAGAAACTAAGTGGGCTAAAAAATGAATAAAGAGCTCTGTGCTTATAATGATTCGATATAATCACTGATCATACTTGGAGTAAAAGCGCCGGGATTTATATCAGGACCATTATCGTAGAAGTATCTATCTCCAGCCTTGAGCCTGTAGAATTGGTCCGCTATGATATGAGCGAACGTTGGCCCGATAACTGCCTCTTCCATCGGCGCCTCCAGCAGACCTCCAACCCAAAGGTCTATGTCTTCCGGACTCTCGTAGACCGACGCTAGACGCTTTGCAGCCTGACGGAGAGCACAAGTTAGATAACTATTTCAAATATTTTTACTAATAGTAAGGCATCTTCTCAGTCAACTCGGATATATACCACCACCCTGCCTATATCTACCGTGGACACACAATATATATAAAAATAATTGAATGAAAAACTCCCATAGTTCCCAATGCCCCAATACCAAATAACATTTTAAAAATATATAATTCAAAGGGCCATTTTGTACCGATTCGATCAAAACACACTTTTATATTTTACGCAGAAATGTAACCACAATAAAGGTATATATGGTCAAATGGTATGGTACACCTTATTAAGATGAGATGAATTCAGGCATAGGTTAGTGAAACTCAATTTCGCGTATCGCACAAAGCGACGAGGAAGACGAGGCATTTGTGGGTCATAAGGGGTATTGTTAGCCCACCCAGATTCAGATGTGTAAATTGGGACAGCCTTTACATAATACGTTTGACACATTGACACATCCCAAATACCTGGACGGGGTTTATCAATGGATGCGCATAACCACTTAGCACTAGCACCACCTTTTGAATGATCAGATATGCGCGCTCATCAGTCTGCTACTAGAAAGGCCCTCATCATCCAAACTCAGCTGTAATAACATAACCTGTTTTCAAGATAAGTTGAGAATAAGATCAACCTACACTTTGTGGAAATTGCTCGAAGCTTTCAAACGGCTGAAGCCCACACAAGCGCCGGTAGCTATTGTAGGATCTGACTCCGTAGTCTTTGCCGCGTTGAATGTTTATTGACGCTAGATCCAGGCCATAGGGGTTGGTGCCACGGAACATGTAGGACGTAAGCTGTATATAGAACACTGTGTTCATTTTCAAAACGAATTGATGTATGTAAAATGAATACCTGTAGATCCTTAATATTAGGATTATCAACAGAATTTATAATGGGATATAAATTACAAAATATTGAAACCTTTAATACGCAGTCTCTAAGGTAATAAGGGCTTCGTGAATATAAAAATCGAATCAGCAAATTTCCGTTGGACTAATGCCAGTTTCCTACGAACCCCTTCAGAGATAAACGGATCGACACTCTGCATCGGTTGCAGCGTCAGGCCAATCAGCAGCCGATCCAAGAAGTGACGTAGCCGCATTCTCGACGGCTGAAACATCACTTCCGGTATCGATATCGTCTCGTAAACTTCTCCTGTTTTCGTGTTGGGAATTCTGGAAACAATTGTTTTGCTTTAAATTAAGCTCATTATTTTGGTCTTATTTCACAATGCCAACAATGTCCAACATTAGACATCCAATATTCGTCCAATTGTTATGCGGTAAAGGCATCAACAGTACCATTAAGCCAAAATGTTCTAAACGCAAAAGTCCTATGGAAATAAAAAATATAAAACATATGACTCACACAATTCTTCCATCAACAATGGAGTGGCCAAATCTCATGGCTGCGGTCGAGAATTCTGCTGTAATAGACGGATTGACTGTTGGATCGTACGACGAGGAATACTCTGACGATGGAGACAAATTGAAGAGCTGCATCATTTGGTGACCTTGTAAATAGCAAAAAAAATAATATTCATCAATCAAATTCTAAGTTTTAAGCAGAGACCCAGTAAAAGGTAAATAGGTATACTGGGACTCGATCTACGCCTCTGGTAGGTTTCGGTGACAACCAAATCCGTCGGCGACTACTCCTCCACTCACACTCACAGTGACGCTTCGGAGGCTTAAGGATTTATAAAAAGACTAAGAAAGTTTTCTTTATAACAGAAATGAATACCATAAACGACTAAGTTGTAAATTGGTTATACACTCATTAGTCATTAGCGGCTAATGACCAGATTTTCATTTCCTAAAATGAGGAGAGGGTTAAACAACAATGATGCCGTAGAGAGGCTGATGAGTGAGTTCACAATTCATCTGGTATTCGCTTCCAGATCCCATAGCCTAGTAGTTGGGCATAGTAAATGCCACCACCATTCACATACCAATTATTTTTGTAAGGTAACTTTGATGACCCTAAAATTAATTAATTTGAATCCATCATTTTCCAAGACAATAGATCGTGAATTTCATTTATTTGTATGTCTCGTTCTTTTACCTATCAATAGAGGAAGCCACTCATTGTAAATGATATGCTGGAATTCTGCCTGCAGTATCCTTCTGGTCTCCATAAAGACCGTGTCTTCGTCCCAATGAGGGTTCAACCTCGACAGGGCTTGCGCGACTCGGTTGTGCTCCCTCGACCATAACGTGTGGAATGCTGTCAGTGAGATGAACTGATTCCCGTGACTGTCTCCTGTAAATTGAAAACTAGAATTTCTGGAGCCAATACTTATTATGACAGAGCCTTTATTGGTCACAGACAACATTACAGAGTTTTTAATACGTCGGATTTAATACGTCGGACGTTAATACGTCGAATAATTACAGAGTTTTTAAGTCGTCGTGGCCTAAAGGATAAGACGTCCGGTGCATTCGTGTTGAAGCGATGCACCGGTGTTCGAATCCCGCAGGCGGGTACCAATTTTTCTAATGAAATACGTACTCAACAAATGTTCACGATTGACTTCCACGGTGAAGGAATAACATCGTGTAATAAAAATCAAACCCGCAAAATTATAATTTGCGTAATTACTGGTGGTAGGACCTCTTGTGAGTCCGCGCGGATAGGTACCACCGCCCTGCTTATTTCTGCCGTGAAGCAGTAATGCGTTTCGGTTTGAAGGGTGGGGTAGCCGTTGTAACTATACTGAGACTTTAGAACTTGTATCTCAAGGTGGGTGGCGCGTCTACGTTGTAGATGTCTATGGGCTCCAGTAACCACTTAACATCAGGTGGGCTGTGAGCTCGTCCACCCATCTACGCAATAAAAAAAAAAAAAAAAAAAAAAAAAACGCTTTTATTAGCTTCAGACGTATATATAGATATGTTTGTAACGGAATCTTTGAACATGATTTTGAACCCCTTTGAAAACGTCGGATCAACTCGAAATTTGGTATACTTATTAAGGACCGATGACAATTCAATAATAAAAATATATTGAAAAAATATATATTGAAAAAATTGAAATTCAACAAAAAAATTAAAAATAAATAATAGTTTAAAAAACTAATAAAATACGCTTTTATAGGGGTGCTTTTCAGGATATTATCAAAATAACCCTTCTACCCATATCTGTTCATAAAATATTTATAACTACTGATACAGTGAACCTCACCCCAAATCATTTTTTCTTACACTATTTTTAATTCAACAATTTTCTATAAAATCGTATTTTGTTAGTTTTATTAACTATTATTTATTATTGCACATCAATTGAACTAAAGTGATTCGCATTTATGTAGGTTTTTTGTTGTTGTTATCAATTTCTACTTGCTGAGTAGGCTGTGGTCCGTTCAGTATTATTTTGCACATACATATATGTAGGATGGCGGAATAACGAGAAATGGATCTCACCTTACTTATTTTTTATTTTTTACACAAAGAAACAACAACATATCACTTTTACATCTTACCACCACCACACACACTAATCTTTTTTTTCTGACTACCTACTGACTTTGACAGACCATCCACAAATTGGGGTTGTCAGATTTAAATAAAATTAAATTCTAAAAAATACTCCACACGGCCGTCCTGGTTAATCATCTGACCCAGATGAATAATTTTCTTCCGACGTAACCCATGGTTTCATGAAATCAGCAGAAGAAGTCGTGTTGATTGGACCCTCTGTATTTCCAACTTTCTTCACAACATATCGGTCATTTCCTTTGTTTTTTAAGACTTCATAAGGTCCTAGGTACGTAGGAAATAATTTACTGCCTTGAGAGAACTGCGTTTTCTTGATTGCAACTAAATCGCCAACATTGTAAGACGTCGCTTCTTTTCTCTTTCTGTTATAATTTTTTATGTTTTCTTCTTGTATCTTCAGTAGCGATTCTTTAGCTTTTTCTCTCAGCTCTTGTCTTTTTTCTTTAAACATTTGTATTTCTTCTTCCTCTATTAACTTTTTAAGTTCATCATCGTCTTTATCTTTTATTTTAGTGCCAAAGAGTAATTCAAATGGCGTCATTCCTATGCTTCTTTGGTAGGTACCAATCAGATAGCGTTGTACTACAGACACACGGCGGTACCATTTGGTCGGATCATCAGCGCTGAGCTTGCTCAACACGGCAATGATAATCTGATGAATCCTTTCGACCTGGCCATTTCCTCTGGGTTGTCCTGTAGTAATCATATAGTGTGTAATATTTTCATTACGGCAGTACTCTTGAAATTCATTTGCAGTAAATGCGGCGTTTCGATCAGTAATAATCCTTTCTGGTGATCCGAAAGTTTGTTGTTGCAGTCTTAACTTTTTTACCGTCTCTAGAGCGGTAAGAGTCTTAACAGGGTAAATCCAGGTAAATTTGGTATAAGCGTCAACAACGGTGAGGATATACTTGTAATTTTTATGAGTAGATGTCAAAGGTCCGAGATGATCAATGTGGTATGTTGATAATGGAACATTGCCTTTGTCTATCGGGTGTAATAGTCCTTCCCTTTTACCTCTCTTGTGCNGAAAATCAATTATTTTTCAGCGCCCCCCATTTTTTATACACCCCTAAAACTTTAAAACCACAATTTCATTAATTTAATTAATAAATGTTGTATTAATTTTAGTAAATGTAGTACCACGTAGTACATAATTATGTATTTGTAGATGCTATTATTGTTTCTTCATATTATTATATGTCCATACATTGCTACAGAGCGTGTATTTACAAATTTGCAAAGTAAAAATGAATTCTTCTCATCAATATGTTTGTTTAAATTCAGAATCACCAAAATAAATTGCTAGTTCACTGTACTATTACTATGCTAATTTATTAGAACGAAATTATTTTTGTTGAATATTTTTCTCATTAATATAAGATTCTCATCATAAGATAATTAAAAATTTATTAGCTAGAAATGGATCCTCCGAAAAGGACCTCAGAAGGTGAATCAGTATGGCAAAGAGAGCTATGTCCCAAATGGACCGTGTTTGGGCGGACAGAAACATCTCGAGGAATACCAAAAAGCAGCTCGTCACCTCCCTCATCTTTTCCATTTTTCTCTACGGCGCAGAGACTTGGACCCTCTAGAAAGCCGATCGCCAACGCATCAACGCGTTTGAGATGTGGTGCTGGAGGAAAAGGCTCGTTGGACAGAACACAGAACCAACGAATCCATTCTTACCGAGCTCAAGATTCCAATGCGCCTCAGCACTACATGCGCGCGGAGAAGTTTCGAGATCTTTGGAGATATTGCCAGAAAGAGAGGTGACAATCTGGAAAAGCTGCTGGTAACAGGCAAGGTATGCGGGAGAAGGCACAGAGGCAGAAATCCAATGCGCTGGTCGGACCAAATACGCTCCACTCTCAATATCTCAGTCCACGTTGCTATCCACACAGCCGAGGACAGGCAGGAATGGTGCAAGATGATGCAGGAGAAAGTTATTAGAGGAGGCCACAACCCTCAGCACTGAGGATTATCGACGCAAGAAGGAAGGAAACTACGAATTTTTTTTTTTTTATTGCTTAGATGGGTGGACGAGCTCACAGCCCACCTGGAGTTAAGTGGTTACTGGAGCCCATAGACATCCACAACGTAAATGCGCCACCCACCTTGAGATACAAGTTCTAAGGTCTCAAGTATAGTTACAACGGCTGCCCCACCCTTCAAACCGAAACGCATTACTCCTTCACGGCAGAAATAGGCAGGGTGGTGGTACCCACCCACGAGGACTCACAAGAGGTCCTACCACCAGTCATTACGCAAATTATAATTTTGCGGGTTTGATTTTTATTACACGATGTTATTCCTTCACCGTGGAAGTCAATCGTGAACATTTGTTGAGTACGTATTTCATTAGAAAAATTGGTACCCGCCTGCGGGATTCAAACACCGGTGCATCGCTTCAACACGAATGCACCGGACGTCTTATCCGTTAGGCCACGACGACTACGAAAAATAAATTAATATCATTTCGTATTATAGACAAATATGGGTAATTTTTCATAGAATTTTAGTTTATAATTTAGAACTGGTTCAAATAAAAACCGCCGCCTAAGTCAGCGTTTTTATTATTTGTAATAATTAATATCTATACTAATATTATAAATACGGGTCTCTATACGGGGGTGGTGCGGTCAATGGCTTTATACGAGGCGCCCGCGTGGGACCAGTCACTGGCCGTGGGGGTAGCGATGTTGCTGCAACGGCCGCAACGCACCATCGCGGTCAGGATCATCCGTGTTTATCGCACCATCTCTTTCGAGGCGGCGTGTGTACTGGCTGGGACGCCGCCTTGGGTCCTGGAGGCAGAGGCGCTCGCCGCTGACTATCAGTAGCGGGCTAACCTTCGTGCCCCTAGACACCGCCGTCGCTGCCGCCTGCGGCGCGACGAGCCCGTCGTGTTCGCGGAGGAGGAGACTCGGCTGCACTGCGAATATCGCGCTGCGAAGGACGCCCTGCGGCTGGCCTTCAGGCGGGCCAAGGAGCAGAACATGGAGAGACTCTTGGAGGCGCTCGAAGCGGATCCGTGGGGGAGCCCATACAAACTGGTACGCGGCAAGTTATGCCCGTGGGCCCCCTCTATGACTGAGCATCTCCAGCCTCAGCAGCTGCGGGGCATCGTTTCGGCGTTGTTCCCGCAGGAGCGGGAGGGTTTTGTCCCTCCCGCTATGGGCGGGCCGTCTGACACCGTCGACGGCCAAGCTCCTGCTGAGGTGCCCCGTATTACCGAGGCAGAGCTCCGGGTGGCCGTTGTCAAGATGACTGCAAAAGACACGGCCCCCGGTCCGGACGGAGTCCACGGCCGGGTATTGGCCTTGGCCCTCGGTGCCCTGGGGGACCGGCTCCTGGAGCTATATAATGGCTGCTTGAAGTCGGGATGGTTTCCGTTGCTCTGGCGGACGGGTAGACTTGTGTTGTTGAGGAAGGAGGGGTGCCCGGTGGATACAGCCGCCGGGTATCGTCCTATCGTACTGCTGGACGAGGCGGGAAAAATGCTGGAACGTATTCTGGCTGCCCGCATCGTTCGGCACCTGGTCGGGGTGGGGCCTGACCTGTCGGCGGAGCAGTACGGCTTCCGGGAGGGCCGTTCGACCGTGGATGCAATTCTTCGCGTGCAGTCCCTCTCGGACGAGGCCGTTTCTCGGGGTGGGGTGGCGCTGGCGGTGTCTCTTGACATCGCCAACGCATTTAACACTCTGCCCTGGACGGTGATAGGGGGGGCACTGGAGAGGCATGGAGTGCCCCTCTACCTCCGCCGGCTGGTTGGGTCCTATTTGGGGGTCGGTCGTATGTACCGGGTACGGTGGGACCCTTCATCGTTTTCCGGTCGTGCGTGGTGTTCCGCAGGGGTCGGTTCTCGGCCTCCTCTTGTGGAATATCGGGTACGACTGGGTGCTGAGGGGCGCCCTCCTCCCGGGCCTCCGCGTTATTTGTTACGCGGACGACACGTTGGTCGTGGCCCGGGGGGATGATTATAGAGAGTCTGCCCGTCTCGCCACAGCGGGAGTGGCCCTCGTCGTCGGAAGGATAAAGAGGCTGGGTCTCGACGTGGCGCTCAGTAAATCCGAGGCTCTGTCGTTTCACGGGCCGCGGAGGGTGCCACCCGTTGACGCCCACATCGTGGTTGGAGGCGTCCGGATAGGGGTCGGGGTGCAGTTGAAGTACCTCGGCCTCGTGTTGGACAGCCGGTGGGCTTTTCGTGCTCACTTTGCGGAGCTGGTCCCCCGATTGATGAGGACGGCCGGTTCTTTGAGCCGGCTGCTCCCGAATATTGGGACTGTGTTAATCGTGGCGAAGGACGTCTCACCTTTCGTCTGGTGCAGGTGCCTACCGGGCACGGATGCTTCGGGAAGTACTTGCGCCGGATAGGGGCTGAGCCGACGACGAGGTGTCACCATTGTGGACACGACCTGGACACGGCGGAGCATACGCTCGCTGTCTGCCCCGCTTAGGAGGTGCAGCGCCGTGTCCTGGTCGCAAAGATAGGACCTGACTTGTCGCTGCCTGGCGTCGTGGCATCGATGCTTGGCGGCGATGAGTCCTGGAAGGCTATGCTCGACTTCTGCGAGTGCACCATCTCGCAGAAGGAGGCGGCGGGGCGAGTGAGGCAAAGCTCTCCTCACTACGCAGAAACCCGCCGCCGCCGAGCAGGGGGTCGGGATCGGGGTCGTATCCGTGACCTGGCCCCCTAAGAGCTAGGGGTCCCACCCGTTTTATGCGGGGAGAGACCCAGACGTGGGGTGGCGTGCTTTGCACGCTCACCCGCAGTAGGAAACCGGGTGATGGTAGACTGCGTTCCCCCGACCGCTCTGCGGGAAGGTGTAACGCGGCGCCATCAAGGCGGGCTCTCGGCCCGCTGACTGAACGAGGGAACCGGTGGTCGTGTCGCTGGCGGCCGCCGGTCCGGCTTCCGTGGGACGGTGGGATGGATGTAATGTGCTCTGCGTCAACCCTGTCCCGCCGTCTCAATAGCCCCGACTGGGCTCCGGCCCGGTCCGAGGTAGGGCGCCGGTTGTGAACGGCAGGAGTTTTTAGTGAGGTTCAACTCCCACATACCCCACCTGCCACGCGGGTGGGGATCCGGCGATTTTCTCTTGTAGAAAAAAAAAAAAAAAAACTTCGTGCCCGGGGCGTGGCACGTCCCAGCCCCAGTGTGGTCAGAGCGCGGAGGGCCCAATCTCGGCGGTCCGTGTTGGAGTCATGGTCCAGGCGGCTGGCCGATCCTTCGGCTGGTCGTAGGACTGTCGAGGTGATTCGCCCGGTTCTTGTGAATTGGGTGAATCGTGACAGAGGACGCTTCACTTTCCGGCTCACGCAGGTACTCACTGGGCATGGTTGCTTCGGTGAGTTCCTACACCGGATCGGAGCCGAGCCGACGGCAGAGTGCCACCATTGTGGTTGCGACTTGGACACGGCAGAGCATACGCTCGTCGCCTGCCCCGCATGGGAGGGGTGGCGGCGTGTCCTCATCGCAAAAATAGGAAACGACTTGTCGTTGCCGAGTGTTCTGACATCGATGCTCGGTGACGACGAATCGTGGAAGGCGATGCTCGACTTCTGCGAGTGCACCATCTCGCAAAAGGAGGCGGTGGGGCGCGTGAGAGATGCACAGGCCCGCCCCCGTTGAGCGGGGTCCATGGAGGCGGATCTCGCCCAAGCCCTGGCCCTCTAAGTGTTTCGGGTCTCCCTCACATGTCGGCCTGGGGACCGGCGAAGGGGGCCTAAGAAGACGACGTGCAAGCTGCTCTGCATATGTTTTACGTATGAGCATCCGGGTGATGGAAGGCCGGCTATCCCCGACCCACCTTGGTTCTGACCCAGCGGGGTATTCCGTAGGATAGACCATTCTAACCGGCGCCATCTAGGCGAGTTTCGGACAGCCTGCCGACCGAGAGGGCTGGTGGTCGTGGCGCCGACGACCGGCAGTCCGGCATCCCGAGGGGGAGGGTGATGGGAGAGATGTGCTCCGCACTAAACACTTCACTTTCCCCCCTTTGCCTTTTCATGAGCTCTGTCTCATGCGAGGTTTGGATGCTGGTTGTTGAGCGACAAGAGGTTTTAGTCGGTACGATTCCGACATGCCCAGCCCTCCATCCCCAGTGAAGGGCGGAAGTCCGGTGATTTCCACCTGACAAAAAAAAAAGTGTGGCTCTCGGGAACTGCGGCGGTAAAGCTATTGCATAGCATTTTTTATCAACTTATGACATTATAATTAGACAATGATAATTTAATATTAAAACAACAATAAAACAAGACTACGCTATATTAAACCTTAATAAAGGCAAAACCTTAACTGTCCCCTTCACACTCATAAGCTAAACCGCGCGAGAGAGAGATGGGCAGACTTTTCATGATTCGCATGCAGTGTGACATCACGCCACGCGCTTATTCACAAACACTACACAAGCGCAACGTGTGAATGTGTTGAATGCGAGCTACATGGTAGGCGGAGTGAGGGGTGTTAGGTTTTTTTCGTTATGGAATTTCATGATTCGGTCGCCGCGCTCAAGGCCCGCGATAAAAGCTATGCAATAGCTTAAAAATGTATGTATGTAATGTAGTTTTTCATCACGATAACGCTAGACCTCACACATCTTTAGCCACTCAGCAAAAATTAAGAGAGCTTGGCTGGGAGGTGTTAATGCATCCGCCGTATAGTTCTGACCTTGCACCTTCAGATTTCTACCTGTTTCGGTCTCTTCAGAATTCTTTAGGCAGTGTCAGGTTAACATCACGAGAGGACTGTCAAAAGCAATTGTCGCGGTATTTTGATCAGAAGCCCCAAAATTTTTTATAGCAATGGGATAATGTCCCTACCTAAAAGATGGCAAAAAGCTATCGAACAAAATGGTACCGACATACTTTAGTTAAATGTGAATAAACTATATTAAAAGATGTTGTAAATTTTCTTAAAGAATGCGAAGAAACTTTTTCCCCAACCTATTATTATATAGAAAGAAAATAGTAAACAATGTTTACAATAAGTGAGCTGTTTAGGCTTACTATACTATACTATTTGACATTGGACGGTAAATTGTAAAAAATAATAATCTTAGACAAGTTTTTGAACAATAACGTATTTCCATTTTATATAAAAATTATGATTCTCACATCAGTAATTTCTTATAAAATGCTAGGAAAATGCTTTAAAATGCCCTTATGTTAAAAACAAGAAAGAAAGTAAAGAAAACCTCAATTTGTGTTAGTTTACGTATGTGTAATATTTTAAAACTGCATGGTAGTTTTTTTCTAATGTTTAAAATAATTTCTGGTGCAATGTAATTAAGGTAAAATTGCTCTAATTTTTTAACTATCATCGATCATGTTCCGCAGAAACTTGTTACAACTTGATTACGTACGGTGTGTGGGCTATCCTACGAAATCTATGTTAATTATTTTAAGTTTTTATAACCGCATACAGGGTAGAAATATAAACTAATTATTCGTTATTGTGTAGTAGGTGAGTTTTAATTTTAGTAAAATTTAAAATACTATAAAGTAAATGAAATTACAAATTTTACAACGCCCCCCTAACCCACATCAACGCCCCCCATTTTTTCGTGGGCCCCTTAACGCCCCCCTCTAGGTTTCAAACGCCCCCCAGGGGGCGTTATCGCCCACTTTGAGAAAGACTGCTCTAGATAAACCTCACGACTCATGTGGTGTTAAATGGTTTTTTTTTTCTTAGGTGGTTGGACGACCTCACAGCCCACCTGGTGTTAAGTGGTTACTGGAGCCTATAGACATCTACAACGTAAATGCGCCACCCACCTTGAGATATAAGTTCTAAGGTCTCAGTATGGTTACAACGGCTGCCCCTGCCCCACCCTTCAAACCGAAACTCATTGCTACTTCACGGCAGAAATAGGCAGGGTGGTGGTACCTACCCGTGCGGACTCACAAGAGGTCCTACACTGATATTATAAGGTCCACTTTACAATTCTCAACGCATAACTTCTTAGACGAGAGTACCTATCCATAGAAATGTGGTGGGAGTTCGAATTCTAATGTACCTTCAACGGCAGTCTCAACTTAATGATTGCTTTGCGGCCGAAGATACAGTGTTGCATGTTCTATCCGTGAATCACCATACGTCCTTACATTGCTAAAAAACACGCATACCTTGATCTTTGCAATACCGACCGTCACTATAATCTGGTGGCAGAAGCCTCTCGAAGCCAGTATTGACAGCTCCCCACGTTGGGTTGGCCAGATTGTTGCACTCCCCATCTATAGATCTGTACCGGCTTTGGGTATCCGGGCACTGCGGGGGCTTAGGGCAAAAGGGACCTGGAAATAGAGATTCGTTTTGTTTGCTATCAATGCCAGATGAGCTGTTCGCGTCATAGGACTTATCTACCGTTCTCCTGACATTGACCTCTTGTGAGTCCGCGCGGATAGGTACCACCACCCAACCTATTTCTGCCGTGAAACAGTAATGCGCTTCGGTTTGAAGGTGGGGCAGTCGTTGTAACTATACTTGAGACTTTAGAACTGATATCTCAAGGTGGGTGGCGCATTTACGTCGTAGATGTCTATGGGCTCCAGTAACCACTTAACACCAGGTGGGCTGTGAGCTCGTCCATCTATCTAATCAATAAAGAAAAAAAAATGACAGTACCAGGGCTCATAAAATCAGAATCAGGACTCTTTAGATCAAACTTTGAGGCTGAATTGGTATCCAGGAATCTTTCGAGTCCGTTCGGTTTTTGCAAACCTTAGACACAATTAAAACCAGTCGTCCTTTACCACGAAAATCGTAAAATAATCGAAACAAAGTCAATGTTAATGCAATTACTATAAAATACGCGATTTTAAACCGTAAAGTTATTACTATAATTCAGTTTTGCTCAAAGTTATGGTCAAACTGACGTCCTTCGAACTGTGTTCACGAGCGCTACCGATTATTTGCTGCTCAAGTTAATAAGGAGTGCACGGCTGTATCTGTGTTATACTTGAAAGGACAACCGCTTTAACGGCCGTCTGGTGTAGTGGTAAGTGACATGGTCACTACACATGGGGGTCGCGGGTTCGAATCCCGCCAAGGGAAGATATTTGTATGATAAATACAAAATGTCTTTTCCAGGGTTATGGATCTATATTAAGTATATGTACGTGTATAATAAAAATCTTACATTTATTCCCGTTATCTGGTACCTGTAACACAAGTTCTTTACGAACTTAGCATGGGACTAGTTAAAGTGGTGTGATTGTTAGTAAATATTTATTTATTATTATTATTATTACTATGTACCATCAAACGGACAATAGATGTTTTGTCTATCGATCAAAAAATTATGATCGAGAACTTATCATAAAACATCATGATATTAAGAATATTAACGTACCATCAGTATGTCCTGTTGCTCCTAACTCCAGCTCATCCTCAGAGACTGCCTGCCGAGACTTCAGTTCCAGAGCAGCGAAGACGTTCAACAGTCCACCTCGTCCAAGACCCTCAACTCTTTTGTCGTACGTAACCATGGACTGATGAAAAAGATGTTTTGTAAAATTCCTATTAATGTTTTCTCAAATACAAGTCGTTCTTAAAACCACTAAAGATGCTTAACGTAGGTATGAAAAGTGTGACATTGTCAATAACATCTGCAAAGTATGTCAGCGACACGTAACCGCATACTATCAGGAAAGTCGTATCCGGGTGATTAATAGAATTCAATTTAAAAAAAAAAGACAGCGTCAAAATGATACTTCGAAAAAACGACTTGTTATCTTTATCGTGACCACCTCTAATTACATGATCGACCCAGACGACGTGGCAACCCTAAGTCACTGTCTTCCTAAAAAATCTTATCGAATCTTCCCAATCCAGTCTCGGTGGTTACCAGGTTACCGTTCATGCCAAACTCGTCGAAGAGATCGACGTGCAACCTAGCCCATAGACATAGCCCACTGAGTTTCTTGCCGGATCTTTTCAGTGAGTCTCTTTTTTTATTGCTTAGATCGGTGGACGAGCTCACAGTCCCCCTGGTGTTAATTGGTTACTGGAGCCCATAGACATCCACAACGCAAATGCGCCACCCATCTTGAGATATGAGTTCTAAGGTCTCAGTATAGTTAGTACGGCTGCCCCACCCTTCAAACCGAAACGCATTACTGCTTCACGGCAGAAATAAGCGGGGTGGTGGTATCTATCCGTGCGGACTCACAAGAGGTCCTACCACCAGTAAAGAGTCGCGATTCCGGTATCGCGAATGATACATTAACCGAAGCACTGCTCTTACTAGGACTAGGGTTGGCAAGCTCTCTCAGGTTAAACCCCGCTCACCTACCGATCCGCGCGTGCTTAGAATAGGATAGAATTAGGCTTCCAACAAGGAATTTACCAAATGATGCCCGTAACTAGGTGCCGAACTACTGATGATTGTATCAGCAGAACGTTCTAGAACTTTCTCGTTCGCTATCCACTGGACCATTTTCTGCCTTGATACGTCATGGCTGCTTTTAATGTCTTCTATACTGATGGCGCCAGAACGCTGAGTAGCTTCTAATTGGGCTGAAAAGACAGAAACACTTTGATTAACAATTATCGTAAATGTTTATTTTGGTGTGTATTTATCAAAACTAATTGAAATTATAAGTCTGTACACTATTATGATTCTATTTTAGACTATTTATTTTACTTATATAATCACAGATTTCGCCAAGACTACACTTTAGACAAATATTAATGAAGACAAACAATATTCAATCTATCTACAACTTCTCCACATCCATCAATCTGACCACAGACTTTAAGCAATAAGAAAAGTTTGACAATACACAAATAGTTTAGATTCGTGTGTGTGTGTCAAATACTTAATAGTGTGTGTGATGTTTTTTTTATTGATTTAATGTATCTTTTATGCATTATTTTAAAAAATATTAGCATTGTGCACTGCTTCTCTATATTCTCTGTAAGTGTGGGAAATTTCATACTCCTCCGTCCGCGCAATTTTCGTAAAAAGGGATACAAAGTTTTTCCTTCACGTATTAATATATAGATGATACAAGTTCAGGATCGACCTGAAAGTCCAAATTTAAATTTTATTACGGATAGCATTTGTTTCGTTACTGGACATGAATTTCGATGGGTCTGTCGCCAAATAGGAATCTAGTTAAAAGCGGATTCTTGCTAATGTCGCCTTCATGAAATCTATTTAACATACTATTTATCAACTCCTAATAAAAACATTCTGTTCTGTCAGCAGAATCATTCAACCGAGGGACTATCTTCGCTTTGCTTTCTTTAACTAATCTTTTGTGTATTACCTTCACTATTTATTTAATTTGTTCGGCATCATTCAAAATCTCAAAAGGCTACCGATACATACTAGTGCTCCTAAGCATTTTCCCTATAGAGTAACGATTTATCTTGTTGTGACTCTTGTTGAGCCTATTTAAAATGCCACGAATCCTTGAGCAGTACATTGGGACTGGCATTATCCTTCAAGGTCAACAGCAAAGATCATACCATCAGCTCCAGATTATATAAGGCAGGCTGTGGTCTTATAAAAAATCTAGCTATCTTCATGGATCTGCCGGTAGCACTGGTTAAAAATCGGCACATTTTTATCTGTTTCCATAAACGCCGGAAACACTGATGGATATAAATTAAATACAAATTCACTTGTAAGCCTTGCTCGATAAATTGACACACATTGATAACTAAATTAAGCGTAGTTTTATCGTACCCTAATATATAAGGACAAATAAGTGCACGTTTTTTTTTAAATTATCCTCATGAGCGTATCAAGGATGGTCAACCTTTTATTGATTTCAATGTTTTATTTATCTATTTATTTTTTATTGGCCTTGTAGGCAGACGAGGATACGGCACCTGATGGTGAGTGGTTACCGTCGTCCATGGATTCCAGTAATGCCAGGGCCAAGTCGCTGCCTACCGTTAAGTACTCTTCACAAGCCTCGTTTAAATGTCTCCGCTTGCTATGTGTTTTATACTAAGGACAGTGCTTTGAGGATTTTTTCGAGAGGATCCCTTATAGTACAAGAGCGCCATTCGCCATAGGGGCAGTGCTCATTTCTATTACCTAGCGTTCATTGACAGAAAAATACGACCTTCGTCGGCACAAAAAATTATTAATTTTTCTTTTGTTTTTAAACCTCTCGGGATTATTGGCATCGTAAACACAATTTTTTAAATAAAGGTTGATCACCACGAATTTTAGTTTTACTTATTTATTTGATATTATTTTAGATTACGGGAAATATCGGAAAATCACTAAAACTAAAAGCTCGCTAGGAGCTCATCGATAGTAATATTTTTAACGTACATTACTTAACAGTTACTATTAGTTCGTTGACCTCGCGTTTCTCTTATTTACATTCCATTGCGTGCAGAGTTCGTAAACGGTTTACTTAAACTTAACTTACGGTAGGCAGAGGCTTGGTGCCACCCCTGGCATTGCTGATGTCCATGAGAAACGGTAACCACTCACCATCAGATGGGCTGTACACACGGTTGCCAACACGGGCAATAAGAACAATCTATATAAATAAAAATAAATTACTGTTCGTATGAACTCGTCCACCCATCTAAGCAACAAATATATATAATGAATAGCTGTTCGTTAGTCTCGCTAAAACTCGAGAACGGCTGGACCAATTTGACTAATTTTGTTCTTGAATTATTTGTGGAAGTCCAGAGAAGGTTTGAAAGGTAAATAAATGTGAAAATGCTCGGAATTAAATAAAAATAACAATTTTGTTTTTTCTTTGATGTGTCCCCCGTCGGACGGATTCCTTTTGTTCGTTTTAAGTTTATTTTATACAAAAGTTTAGTTATTTTATTTATCGATTGAGGCACTACGAAGTCTGCCGGGTCAGCCAGTGAAAAATAAAACTTTGTAGACAATTCTCCTTGACGTACCTGAATGCTTTTGCCCGGTGAAGCAGCAGATACCGATGTGTCCAAGGACCAAGTGGCAGGACGGATTCAAGGATCCCGGTCTGACATGGGCTGGACATTTGACCTTCGGGACACACTTCCCGCCTCTGGGGCAGACGGCGCATGGTCGCTCTTGTACGTGAATGTGTTCTTCACAAGGAAAACGAAAAAGAAAAATTATCAGTATAGCATCCTGTTTTTAGTCAGCGTGACAAGATTTTACAAGTAGCTCGTCTTCTTACGTTGTTAGCCTTCTTGATTATTGAGTGTTATAACAAATTTAATTCTTTAAACACACACAGAAGTATTTACATAAGAGGCACAATTTAAATTATAATGTGATATTTTATATTTGTACATACGCGTAGAATAGGGATCGCGGAGCGTAAAATAAAACTTACACTGTTCCAAAATCTTCTGTTATAATAATAATTAAAAATTAATTAACACTATGCCGCCTATGTAAATGCCCCCACCCACCTTGAGACAGGAGCTTTGAAGCTCAGTTTTAACGTGGACGTCAATCGAGAGCATTTGTTGAGTGCGTGTTTCATTAGATAAGTTAGTACCTGCGGGACTCGAGCACTGGCACAGATTCCATCGCTTAATACGAATGCACCGGGCATCTTATCCTTTAGACCACGACCAGTTTATAATTATCCATTGCAACTCTATATAGGTAGATTGTGAAGGAAGGTTTATTAGAAGGTTTATTATTACTTGCGATTTTACTATTTTGCACAATGACGTCAACATTCAAGAGCGCGATATAAATACAAAGCGACAGATGACACCGAAAATGAATACTCCTGAGTCGATATCCTTCGTCAAACGCTATCTAAATCGCTGTCTCTTATCTAACATACCATGAACCTAGCCACTCCGAACAGACAACATAATAACAAAGCCTATATATGTATATTCTTTATTAAATACGTAATTAAATGCGATGTTGTCGTTGTATTAAAATTTGTACGTTTATCTTAGTTATCTGACAGATCACGTAACAAGGAATCAAGTTTTTGACGCGGCTTGAGGACACACCCAGCGGAGTGTTTTTATTGTTATAGATGAGTCGGAAGCGGTTTCAGATCACCAGTGACGGTCCTCGTCGAACCCGTCGCTTGCGACGAAGGGCTCGACGAGTGAATTAACCCATAGACACAACCCACTGAGTTTCTCGCTCGGATCTTCTCAGTGAGTCGCGTTACCGATCCGGTGTTAGATTCTGCGAAGCACTGCTCTTGCTAGGGCCAGTGTTAGCAGCACACCCGGTTTGAGCCCCGTGAGCTCACCTGCACGTCAAGGAGAAGCTGACATAGCCTCTCAAGGCTATCGGCTTAGGAAAAAAAGCACAGAAAAAAAACACCCTTGATTCCTCCTCCAATCCTGCTCGTTTTGTCTGAAGGGGATCGCATCCATCCATGACTTCACGATGCTGTTCCTGTCTTCAGCTACTGTAAGAGCATTGACGATGGTGGAATCGTGGTGCAGACCTTATCAGACCAACGCATTAGACAGCGGTACACTTTGTCGGTAATCACCAGTTTTTCAAGATTGTCTACCTACCTACCCTTCAATGAAGGTTGCACGACAATGTATTAAACATATAGTCATGGTTACTAGTCCTTACCTAAATGATTAATAATTACAATTAATATTACATAATTAATTCAAGGATGGCAACACTAAAAATATTATAAAAATCTCCTTGACCGTTGTCCTTAAACGACAATTTGTTTTCAAATAACAAGTGACTGTAAAAAAACTTTTGATATTTATTTTTAAGTTTGTTCACGACAAAATCTCGGTGCAGAAAGTTGAAATCATGTCACTTAACTATAATCTATGATCACTGCGAAAAAAATTAACCCATCAAGGATGCAATTGGGTACGTTTGTACTCTTAATTGTATTGTTTCTTTGTATTAGAGTACTTTATGGTAGGCAGCGGCTTGGCTCTGCCCCTGGCCTTGCTGACGTCCATGAGCGACGGTGACCACTTACCATCAGCTGGGCCGTATGCTCGTCTGCCTACAAAGGCAATAGTTTTTTTTTAACTAAAATAGGTTAGCATTTTCTTGAAACGCTAATCAAAACGCTATTCGAGCATTACCGTATTTCGGCTTAGACAAATAAAAATCACGCTATTAAACAAAAACGCGTCATTTACATCGAAACACGAAGTAAAGTGTTGATTTTAACATACTGCATCGTGTCTCGGGAATAAATAACACATAATGATGACTCTCCAAAAATGTCTGCATCAGGAAGGATTGAAAGACTATCAGCAGAAATTTAAGTGAGTTTATTTTTCGCCCATGCCCCATAAGAAATGTAAAAAGAAAGATAATATTTTATGTAAAAAAGAAGTAATAGAAAATTTACTGGTGGTAGGACCGCTTATGAGTCCGCGCGGGTAGGTACCACCATCCTGCTTATTTCTGCCGTGAAGTAGTAATGCGTTTCGGTTTGAAGGGTGGGGCAGCCGTTGTAACTAAACTTGAAATCTTAAAACTGATATCTCAAGGTGGGTGGCGACACAAAAATTTACCCCATAAGAAATGTAAAAAGAAAGATAATATTTTATGTAAAAAAGAAGTAATAGAAAATTTACTGGTAGTAGGACCTCTTGTGAGTCCGCGCGGGTAGGTACCACCATCCTGCTTATTTCTGCCGTGAAGCAGTAATGCGTTTCGGTTTGAAGGGTAGGGCAGCCGTTGTAACTAAACTTGAAATCTTAGAACTGATATCTCAAGTTGGGTGGCGACACAAAAATTTAGATGGTCGATGTCTATGGGCTACTCCAGGGATATGAACTCGTCCACCGATCTAAGCAACAAATATATATAATGAATAGCTGTTCGTTAGTCTCGCTAAAACTCGAGAACGGCTGGACCAATTTGACTAATTTTGTTCTTGAATTATTTGTAGAAGTCCAATGTATTTTAAAATGTAGATAAATATGAAATGGCTCGGAATTAAATAAAAATAACAATTTTATTTTTCCTTTGATGTGTCCCCCGTCGGACGGATTCCTTTTATTTCTTTTAAGTTTATTTTATACAAAAGTAGGCTTTTTATTTATCGATTGAGGTATTTCGAGTCTGCCGGGTCAGCTAGTAATAATATAGATAATAAAAACCCAGACAAAGAGCAAACAAACCCGTAAATCACACGAATGTTTGCCCGATGCGGAAAACAAACCCGCGACACTTGACGACAGTCAGTGGCGCTAGCTACTAGTAGTCTAGTCTCTATAGTATCTAATCAATCTATACTAATATATAAATCTACAGTGGTTTTTACGGATGTTCCGTTATAACTACTGAACTGTGCATCCGATTGACTTGAAACTTGGTATCCATGTAGAAAATACATGTACTTAATGGATTGGTGGGGTGAACTTAATCATGGCTCACCTGGTGTTAAGTGATTATCGGAGCCCGTGATAAATGAGTTCTAAGTCTCCGTTTTTATAGTACAACAGCTACCCCACCTTACAAACCGAAACTTATTAATGCTTCGTAATCTGTTTCTAACTCAAAAAGTGAAAATTAATTGTCTTCTCTTCTGTTAAGACTCAAGCCATTATTGAAAAAAATACGGTTTCAAATGACTTGTGGACTGACATTTTTTTGAGTCTATTACCAGTCAAAATTGAGTTACAACTAAAAATGACAATAATACGAGTTTAATGATATAAATGACGCTCAACACAATGTAAAACATAAGTTAAATGAAAATGATATATGGACAAAACTTACATTAATTATACAAAGTATTTATAGGATTTTTTTATGCGCAATTTTCATTTAATTTTATCAATACATTAATGAGGTTCGATCGCGCATTTTGACTAAGCTCAGAGATGTGTCTGCCATTTTTATTAACACACTAAACTGGGCGGGCAGTGATGTTTGAATACTGCATTAACACAGAAAGGAATCTTCAAGGAAGCGTGTTCGATCACCGAATCGGCTTTGGTAATATCGCTGAGAAAGTAAGCTACTAATGAAAGTGCCTCTCATGAAAGTGATATGCCAAGTTCCGTGTCAGCCAGAACATTGTAGTTTTAAAATAAGATTTCTCTTATCTTAAGAGTTTTTGAAAATCTTTACGTAATAAAAAGCTATAGATATTTTAAACGCCACAAATTTTTGTTATTACGAGCTCGGAATTTTGATAATCTGTCGATCTCTTTATCAGTACCGCTAGAAATGATTACCAATCTTCTTGTCCTGTCAATTTTCCTGTCAAAAAGTCGTAATGAAGATCAACTCACCTGAGGCCTCACGTGCGCTGCCTTCGTAAACGTGACAAGAACTATCCTCAATGACACTCAATAAGAACACATTAATTAAGAGCAAAATGAAGCTTTTGAAATTCATTATTAACGCCAAACCAATCACGGATTTAAATAGGTTTTAATCATTTTAATTTCATTTCATCAAAATACGTTCGCACGCGCCATTGTTGGAGTTGAAAGAAAGGGAACTTGATTTAATCTCCATACCGTACGAAATGTGAAACAGATGAGGGTAGTTTAAAATAATTTGTGACGTGACATTCATTCGCACTAGCGTCGTACATAGCTTGCTCGTGTTTTATAGCTGTAGATTCACTCACGCTTCATCTATTGTTGAGCGGTAGTCAGTATCTAGGGACGACTTAAAGGAAATGTGAATCTGCTTTGAGACAACATTGAATTTTCAGTTCTATTTCGTTCGTATCACGACTCAAATCGGGACAGCGAACAAGAGCACTTGTTCCCGTTTATGTAACCAAGACTAACAGAAGAAAGAGGGCAAAAACAATTGCCGTACGCATCTGATCGATGGATCTGAGAAAGCAGACTGAGAAACCAGTCCAGTATTTATTTAAGTCGTCGTGGCCTAAAGGATAAGACGTCCGGTGCTTTCGTATCGAGCGATGCAACGGTGTTCGAATCTCGCTGGCGGGTACCAATTTTTCTAATGAAATACGTACTCAACAAATGTTCACGATTGATTTCCACGGTGAAGGAATAACATCGTGCAATAAAAATCAAACCCGCAAAATTATAATTTGCGTAATTACTGGTGGTAGGACCTCTTGTGAGTCCGCACGGGTAGGTACCACCGCCCCGCCTATTTCTGCCGTGAAGCAGTAATGCGTTTCGGTTTGAAGGGTGGGGCAGCCGTTGTGACTATACTGAGACCTTAGAACTANCTTCCACGGTGAAGGAATAACATCGTGCAATAAAAATCAAACCCGCAAAATTATAATTTGCGTAATTACTGGTGGTAGGACCTCTTGTGAGTCCGCACGGGTAGGTACCACCGCCCCGCCTATTTCTGCCGTGAAGCAGTAATGCGTTTCGGTTTGAAGGGTGGGGCAGCCGTTGTGACTATACTGAGACCTTAGAACTATATCTCAAAGTGTGTGGCGCATTTACGTTATAGATGTCTATGTGCTCCAGTAACCACTTAACACCAGGTGGGCTGTGAGCACGTCCACACATCTCAGCAATAAAAAAAAAAAAAAAAAAAAAATTGCGGCTACTGGCATCCATGAATACCTCGTGTGAGTTCACCTTGAAGCACGATGTGTCAATTGCCATGACATAGCCTTTCTTGATTTTTTTTTATTGCTTCGATGTGTGGACGAACTCACAGCCCACCTGATGTTAAGTGGTTACTGGAGCCCATAGACATCTACAGCGTAAATGCACCACCCACCTTGAGATATAAGTTCTAAGGTCTTAGTATAGTTACAACGGCTGCCCCATCCTTCAAACCGAAACGCATTACTGCTTCACGGCAGAAATAGGCAGGGCGGTGGTACCTACCCGTGCGGACTCACAAGAGGTCCACCAGTAAACAGCAACCTAAGTAAATCTAGACAAATTAAATGATGATACAGTGGTTTGTCGTTGAACGCGCATCGAGGTAAAAACTACTTGATAGATTTCGGTCCTTATCTCAGATTGAAACCCATGAGCTCTCTCACCGCCCACTAAGAAGTCAGAACCCCTCGTGGCATAAAAAAAAATCAAACATAAACCAGATCAGAATTGATTTAATGACTACCAAACCACAAAATAAAAGGAACCAAGACATATAAAGCTGTTGCTAAGAACTAACTAATGAAAATGTTAATGTTTTGTAGTAATTGAATACAAATGTGAAATACAAATGGTCGTTTTTTATTCACCTGAACCATACGGAGAAATCTTGAAGGGGATTTTGGCGAGAAACATTCGGAAGTTAACCGTAGATATGTACTGACTTGGACCAATGCCCACCTGATCTGAGACCAAGCCAATAATTCCGTTTCAATGAGCAGAAGAAGGCCTTGTTGTCGTGCCATTTGGAACTTTGAGCGCTAGCGTTAAAGTAGAAAACGACATGTAGCAATATCTTTGTGCCCCGACAGCCACTTAATATTTCTTAGATCAGATCGTTTACGCTCTTCATTCAATATTTTACCATTCAAATTAGAATTTTGTGTTTTGAATGAAGAAAAAAAACCTTAGCTCTTCAAGAATATCGTTGTGCCGTCCTCAAAAACCAGATGTTGAATTCCTGATCGAAAATCTAGTTTAATACAACGGAATTTCATTATATTATTTGTATTTGCATTGAATTCGCGGTATTGGGTGGGGCTTGCACCATCTACTGGACCTGTAGAACGAGATACAAGAACGAGTTAATATCACAAAGAACTATGTTTATCGGAATTTCGTTTAAACATTTAAAAAAAATGTGTGCGCTCGGAGAAGGCCTTTCATTTGTGTAAACCTTAATTACAACTTTAATGCCAAACTAGCGGACCCGGCAAACTTTGTTCCGCCACACGGTTTGTTTCAAACACATCAACCGGTCAACTTCAAAACTCTACTATAGTTAACCTTAGAATATATTACGTTTAGCTGTCAGTTGCGTTTTGTTATTCCATATCAGTTGCGTTTTGTTACACCACGTTTTATGACACGTCCCACGGGAATGTGATAAAAAGTATCCTATGTCCTTCTCCTAGTTCTAAACTACCTCCTCACCAATTTTCAGTCAAATCAGCTCAGCTGTTCTTGAATTATAACTAACACGACTTTCTTTTATATATATATATAGATTTGTAAGATGTATATTAGTTTTATATATTAGTGCATCGGAATTTAGTCGTAACAAGATTGCATTTAAGGTTAATTCAAGAGTCAGAATCTAACAACGCTATCCCATTAGAGGGGTTCCGTGTGCCCTCAATCGCGGAATGTCATTTATACGAGACAAGAACCAGTCCATTCAGATCCGATAGCTAAAGCGTAGACTCCAATGGAGTACTGAACCCGGATTTCATTGTAAAATAGTCAAAGCGAATTTCAACCGTTAGGCAAACGAGACGATGTAATTATGAATCTTGTTTGCTTATACAATTATGTGTTTTTTATTTTTTTTATTGCTTAGATGGGTGGACGAGCTCACAGCCCACCTGGTGTTGAGTGGTTACTGGAGCCCATAGACATCCACAGCGTAAATGCGCCACCCAACTTGATATATAAGTTCTAAGGTCTCAAGTATACAACGGCTGCCCCACCCTTCAAACCGAAACGCATTACTGCTTCACGGCAGAAATAGGCAGGACAGGCCGCGGACCAAAGTCTAACGATAACTGCAGACCGCTAAAGAAGATCTAACGGTTTTCCAAAACTAGCCTTCAATGTTTGCTTCTTGCATTAACCCAACCTTGCCCATAACGATCATTCGATATGAAACCTTAAAAGCATATTATTAATATTGATTTTTCAAAGTCAAAAGATATCACTAAAAAGTCACGACACAAATATTTAATTCTTCTCACGAAAGATTATCAGTCGAATTACAATATATAAGAATGGCTAAAGGTGGGCATTCAGTAACGTGGTCAAAGCAGAATATGCGGTAATGGTAGTAGTAGACGCAAGTCTGGTATTAAATACCCAAAAGAGTTCCCAAATGAAACTAATTTTAAAAAGTATAATGAACTTTGAGAAATGAAACAAAGATATATTTTTTCATTTATTATTATTGGTGGGTACAACAATGTGGACAGCATCAATCTAAAGATGTCAGCTAAATATTCTGCAACTTATTTCAGGTGCTAAATGCGTGCTTTATTTGTTTGTTAGTTTTCAAAGCATTTCCGCGTTGCTTTTCTGATTGGGGCTAATTTTTTTTTATTTTATTGCTTAGATGGGTGGACAAGCTCACAGCCCACCTGATGCTAAGTGGTTACTGGAGCCCATAGACATCTACAACGTAAACGCGCCACCCACCTCGAGATATAAGTTCTAAGGTCTCGAGTATAGTTACAACGGCTACCCCACCCTTCGAACCGAAACGCATTACTGCTTCACGGCGGAAATAGGCGGGGTGGTGGTACCTACCCGTGCGGACTCACAAGAGGTCCTACCCCCAGTAAGTTAAAAGTTATTTTTGACGGAAGTTGTAGGATATAGTATACCATCAACGTACAACAACTGAATCCATGATATTTCCAAAATCTGCCCCTTAGAATATTATTTGATTACGCTTTTATCTGTTTCTTTTTTATCTAAATTGAATTTTCTTTTCGTGATTTCTATCATCAATCTTCCGCATACACATACATCTTGTCAGCGTATCTTTAAAATTTAACAATACACATGAAATCCCAAAACCAATATTGTAATTCATTAGTTTTTTGTAAAATTTACCAAGCTATAAACTCTTTTAATGTTGATTTAACATTTTCACTATTTGACATCCACAAATATCACGAGTGCTAATTACATAGTTGATTGTTTAGAATGATAATACCCGTATACGTCTCGTATATAAATACTCTCTGCGTAATAATGTGCTTTGCGACATAAATAGCTGAGAAGGAATTTAAAATCGCGGGCCCAATAGGTCTAACCATTGGACTGTCGTCATTACGGATCCTCCCGATCCATTACCGATATTTTTAGGTACCTCAAGCACCGATCACCGTCCTCGCCGAACCCGTCGCTTGTAACCAACGGCTCCACGAGTAAATTAACCCATAGACACAGACACAAACCACACAGCCATAACCCATAGACAGTTTCTCGCCGGATCTTCTCAGTGGGTCGCGTTTCCGATCCGGTGGTAGATTCTGCAAAGCACTACACTTTCTAGGACCACTGTTAGCAACACTCCCAGTTTGAGCCACGTGAGCTCACCTAAACGTCAAGGAGAAGCTGAAATAGCCTCTCAAGGCTATCAGCATAGGTAGGGAAAAAAATGGACTGTAGGTGGCTTCGAAACTATGGAGAAAGATAGTAGCTTTGTCCAAGACCATAAACAGGTTTAAATTATTAAAAGAATATACACGTAGTTGATATGTTTTTATGAAGAACTTGTCTATACCTA